AGCCTGGTAAAGCCATGACTCAGCATTAGGGTCCCTGGGGGGCTTTCAGGATCCTGACAGCCAGGCTGGCCCAGACCTGCCTATGGGTGAGACTCAGGCGCCAGTGTGTTTCAGAGCCTCCCAGGTGCAGCCAAGTTTGGGAAACCACCTTGCTTTCTAGATGCCAAGGTGTTGCTGGAGGCTGGGTGTGATAACTCAGAGGTGGCTTGCCTTGCCACTCCACAGTCAGGGGTTTGCCACTGGCTCCGCTGGTCTCATGCCACTCCTAGCCCCGCTGAGGGACCAGACAGTTTCTCTCCGGGTTCTTTTAGGATCCTTGTAAACCCAGCCAGTCTGTGTGGGACGTTGGGAGGGGACTTGGTAATATATGGATGTTGACGTTTTTCCTTGAAACTGTCCTGTCCATTGATAAAGATGAGGGTGTCTCTTCTTTGAAGGCTCCCTCCCTCCCTGCTGACACCCCGAGCTTCCTTAGAGTTTACCAGTCATTCAAGAAGAGACTTCTCAAAGACAGCAATGCAATCAGTCCTTGTAACTTGTGTAAATAGCCCCATCTTTCAGAGTGATGTCATTTCTACATTTGATATGCCTGTAATTTCCGTAGGATGTATATAGTTTAGGGGATTTTTTTTTCATTTGGTTTTTTTTTCTAGAAAAGTCAATGTGTCCGTTTTTATTTATTGCTTGAAAAAGATCATTTGAAGACAAATAAATACATTTTCAACCAGCTCTGGCTTGGTTTAGTCTTTTCTTGAAAACTGTCCTGCCGCTATGATTTGGAGTGGAGGGAAAGATCTGGATCGTTTAAATAATCTTGTCCACTTAGCATAAGGTGACCAGATTTTAACACTGGTAAAGCGGGACACCATGGGGGGGGGCGGGGCCTGACAACAATGCAAACTTTGATGAGCAGTTCTTGATAATCAGTTCTCAACAATTATGTTATTATTAAATTATATAATTTAATAATTATATAATTTAACATTATAAAATTAACAAAAATAATATAAAACTCATATCCTGGCGAAATAGCCACATGGCAGCCGAAAACCATTCCCGGTATTCCCTTCCTGTTCTCCTGTGTTCCCTAGCTTGTCGTGCATTCTTTCCAAAAGTTGGGGCTTTTTAAAAACACCGCGGGATGAGGGACAAATTGTTAAAAATCGGGACTGTCCCGCCAAAAGCAGGACGTGTGGTCACCTTAACTTAGCAGCATCTGCAGTGGGGACTGAGCCCACTTCTGCTGCCTGAACACCACTCCAGGCAGGGGAGGAGTGAGCTGATGGGAATCTCTAAGAGCCGCTTGCTCCAGGCTGTTCTCTAGTAGCAGAGATAAGGAAGAACTGAGTGACAAGGGACAAAATGTCTATTTTCATCTGCAAATCTATGTGCCAAACACAGGATATAGAGATACTGACGATGGCCCCTTGGTAAGAGAGGTCGATCTTAAACATTTAAGTACCAAAGTGATCGGGGCTATAACTGAGGAATGTGGAAGGAATTACGCTGCTGGGAAATACCCCTCTGTTTGCAAGGAGGTCCAGTCTGGCTCCCAGAACCTGAGGAACTGCCCTGATAAAGCTTCCATCACCTGCTAGTGCCCATCTGTGGATCTCTTGTATTCAGACTCCATAGGTATGAATTCCCAACTGGGAACCAAGCGTGCATTTCCACTGTGTCGTGATTTCATGTTATTCCCAGCTAATGCAATTCGCAAGTGAAGGAAATGAGGAACACAGTTTGGAAAAGTGGGAGGCCGAATGGTTTTCAGACGGTGAGAATGTGGAACACAAAAAAGAATCAACTCAAATAAACTTATCAGAAATAAGACAGTTCAGCAAGTGGGCAATTCCAAATGAATACAAAAATGGCTTTCCTACGGGAAAACATAGATTACAACTTAAAAGTAGTAGAAGATCCCATTTATAATAATAAAGATAAAATGCCTACAGTAAACTTCGCCAGAAATAGGTGAGAGGTACATGATGGATGAGGCGAAGCTCTGCCCAAGGATGTAAAGAACACTTGGAAAAGGCAGAAGGGACGGCGGATAGATGGTCCCTGACTCACCAAGGTTCGGCTTAGAAGTTCAGCTTCACAGTGGTGTGTGAATGACGACGTGCCCTTCTCACATGGGGGCTCTCCAGTGGTTGTGGAGGAGTGGTGGGGTGGACTGCTGTCATCTGAAGGTCCGGCTGGGCTGGCCTCCCAGCTTGCCTTGCTTACCTGACTGGCAGTTCAAGCCAGCTGTTGCCAAGTTCAACAGTGACTGTTGACTTGAGTGCCTATAAAAGCCCTCTCACTACGGTGGTCCCACAGTAGTCAGATTTCACATGTGACAGATCAGAGTGAGTCTGTGCTAGCAACATGGAACCTACCCCCCTTTATGATGTAGTTTCAGAAGTCACAGCACATCACTTCCTCTCTACCAAACCTGCTCAGATTCAAGGGAGGGGAGACAGATCCTGCCTCGTTATGGGAAGAATATAAAAAGAGTTTTGTAGCCATTTTTGAAACCACCACACCAATAAATAGTTATCCAGAAAACCTGAAAATGCAAAGTTCACCCCTAATTCAGAGATCTCATCCAAGAACCAAAGCCCTTGATGGGTTTTGGCACTTAGGGGCAAAGAACATCAGCTCTTTAAAAATTCTCAGGTGGATCTGGGCCCAGCCTACATGCTGATACCAAGGTCCTTGCCTTGGTTCTTTTGTAATTTAAAAACAGTGTCTCAAGTTGACAGAGTCAGGACAACACAGCTCTGACTTTCTGTATTAGAAATGTGGCTGCCGACTGCTCCTGCCCCTGATGGCAATAGATACTGCAATTAACCACAGCATTATTTTCTGCTGAGCCCAGGTCTGTCCTAATGGTTTTTTGGTTTTTTTTTGAAACAGTCTTGCTCTTTCATCCTGGGTAGAGTGCAGTGGGATCATCATAGGTCACTGCAACCTCAAACTCCTGGGCTCAAGTGATCCTCCTGCCTCCGTCGCTCGAGTAGCTGGAATTACAGGCACTCACCATGATGCCTGGCTAAATTTCCTATTTTTTTTTTTTTTCTTTTTTGCAGAGACAAGGTCCTGCTCTTGCTTAGACTAGTCTCATCTCCTGGCCTTAAGCAATTCTCTCACCTTAGCCTCCGAAAGTCCTGGGATTATAGACATAGAGCCACCACACATGGCCAGGAGTAAGTTTTAACCATTAAAAACACAAATCCTGTCACATGAAGGACTCAGTAAGTACTGTGCACATCCATAGCAACATTTCCAGAATTTTCAGGTTGGGGCAGCTTGAGTGATGGCAACAGTACCAGTGCAGGCAGGAACTCAAGTGGTCATCAGGGCCATTGGTGCCATCTTTAAGCCTTCAGAAAAGTTTGTTACGACTTGGTTGGTGGCCTCAATAATGGGGTTTACTGTAAAGATATATAAGATATGAAAAAAAATCTTATCTCTATGCAACTAAAGGAAAATAGAAATGCTAGCTAGGTTATACCAGATGGCTAGAACATCCACAGGAGCTGGGGGCCTCTTTGGACCCCATACAGCCTTCTCAGAAGCTGATTAGTTCCTACTCCAAACTCACACTGTTTGGAGTCAGCCAGTCTCTCCATTTTTTATCTTTGTGTCTTTGCATAGCATAGGTTAGTCTGAGGCGGTCTGGACTGACCACACGCCTATCTCCAGGGTTACTGACTCTTGGCCAATGCCATACAACAAATTAACTAAAGAGGAAGGCTACTCCACAACCCTATGCCCGGGAGTTGTTTTGCAGCCGTTGGCATTGTTTAGTTCTGTTGGCATTGTTGTTGGCATTGTTTAGTAATAGGAACTCGAGTTCTTATGTGCACTGGGTTTTAGTGGAGAATGTGGGGGGATCACACAGGGAGGATGGGCCAGTAGACCAGCTCACTACAAAAGACTCTTCCTGATGAGCTGACTTGGGATTGTTGGTATTGAGACGCTTCACTGACATCCTGGCGGTGGCCAACACCTGGGGACCACAGTGTGACTTAGTCCAGGGGTGAGAAGTCAAAGCCACCTGTGCTTGAGATCTCCTGGCCCCTTTAGCGGGCACTTTTCTTCTGCAGCCTGAACCTGAGATGTCTGGGCCCTTCAGTGCGCACCCTTCACCATCTTCTGCCAGCTATGAAGCTGCTGAGTATAAACTGAGTCCTGCGAGTCTTTTGAGCAGTTAAGGTGAACATCTAAGGGGATTAGTGGAGCCTTTCAGCCTTTTCTTTCTACCAGCTTTTTACCTTTTATGTCTTGAGTTCAGATTCACGAGAAATAGCACTTAACTGGTCAGTGTTGTTCCTATACAGTTTTCCCACTAAATCCCCTCCTGCATCAGCGTCCCCCTCTTGTTAAACCACACGTGGCTAAGGCGATAGTGCCTTAGGTTCATCAGAGGGAGCTCTCAGAGGGAAGCTGTAGGTTAGAATACCCTAGAGCTTCCAGTTACTAAGTCTCCTTGTGGCTCAGACAATCCCGCTGGCCAAGGAAGTTAGTACTGTACAGATTAGCCAGGCTTCGACTTTGTAGCTCACTAGCCATGGAAAAGGAGAGGGGGACGAATACAAAGTTCTCCTTGGCCCTCGTACTGGGCACATCCGATTTGCCAGCAGGAGCCAAGTATTCTCCCTGCTTTCCTCCCGTATGGGGTGGGGAGAATAAGCCTCCTGAGTGGTACGGTGGGCAGGGTCTCGGAGCTGCCCTTGGCACTGCTGAGGCCTGACTCCAAAGCCCAAGCCTGTGTGTTTGAGAGAGATTTCTAAGAGGAACTCGTGTTTCTCCTGCTATCACTGTACTTCTGCAACTCCCACGTGGGCTTAGAGGGGAGGATAAGCCACTTCAAACCCAGATCTCATCAGCAAGACACACAGGGAGGGTTGTTATTTGTATTGTGACAGTTGTAGGTCAGTTAAGGTTGGTCAGGCTGAAATGGACAAATGGGGCAAAACGGAAACACAAGAGCTAACTGCTATCCACACGCAGTGTACTTTAAAAATGTTTTTATTGAATATTAATCAATTACAAGTAGTGTAAGTTAGACATTAAGCCAAAGCACAATTACAGGTTAAATATAATCACAAAAATCTCTTAAATAGAAACCCACCGTGCAGGCAGGTTAAGTTCCTTGATGCCCTCTTTTGGAACGAAGTAGAAGGTGAGGGAAAAAAGGACTTCTATTTCAGGTGAAAGGTGAAGCCAGAAGAATTTACATGCTATAAAGTGATTTTTCATGAACAAATCAGGATCGCCAGATTTAGAAAAACAAAACAAAGCAAAAACCAAGGATGCTCAGTTCCATTTGAATTTCAAATAATGAAGGCTTTCACTTAAGTATGTGTCAGATACTGCATGAAACATACTTACGCTGAAAACTGTTATCTGAAATTCACATCTAACGGGGCATCCTGTATTTCATCTGACAATCCTACAAATAGACAGATGCAAAGAAGAAAGGGGAGGGGACTGGAACCCCCTGTCACCGGTGGTGGGTCACACAGAGACTAAAAAGAAAAACAACACCAACAGTGAACCGAAGAGTCACCACACTGGTTACTTACACAGACCAACATCACAGTGAGAAAACACAGTTGCCACTTCAAATGCTGTTACCAGCAAACAGTCCCCATTTCCTCAAAGCTGGTTTTGTAAATGTTTTTGAGACATGTATTGATAAAAGTACCTTTTTTGTTCGTAAGTATCAAAGACAAATATTACCACCACAAAGATAAGATGAGCTGGAAACAATGGGAGCAGAAGCAGGTATTAGACGCAGTTGAAGAGTTTCATGTGTTGGGTCGAGTACAATACAACGGGCTACCTAGTCAAGGTCATCTTCTAGGCTTCAAAGATTTCCGTTCCTTCCTAACTTTGCCACTTTTATCATCTTAGCTCTTTATCCTGAACTTTGGGAGGGGCACGGAGGTGGGAGAGGGCCATCCTACTGCCAGAGTCCAAAGTTTCCCTGTGACTGTAGGGCTGCAGGAGAAACGGGTAGACAGATAAAATCTAACCCAACATCCTAAGTTCTGAAGCAGGAGAGACTGTCTTTGAAAGAATGGGTGGCAGGGCAGGTGTGGAAGAGTAATGTAGAAAACAGAAAAGAGAAAGTGATGAAAAGAAAGTCAAAAAATGCCATCATAATCGTCTTTACCATATAAATGTTATTTCAAAGGAGGCAGAACTCTCTGGCTGACTTATAAAATTGGTCACACCAGGACCATGCTTGGTCTTACAGAGTATATGAAATCTTAAGCTTCCTAAATGTTTTCACTTTTAATATCACACTATATTTGTATTTTAAAATGACTAAAAAACAGCTTTCCTATCAACCTAATTTTCCCTGTTAGTGACAGTTGTTGCTGTGTTCTCACATACACAACTTCACAGGGTTTGAACTCTTTCTAGAACTGCCAAACCAGAATTCCTCTAGCGGAGGAATTTTAGATATATAGAAACTGGAAAAGATTGACTCTTCCTAGCCCTGTTGCAGGTATGAGAATATTACTTCTGAAATACACCCTCGTAAAAGAAGCTTAACAAGTATGAAATACTGCACTCACTGACCCTTTTCAGACAGCAGGAAATGGAACGACAAGGTCTTATTTGTTAACACATAAAAGGTTAAAAGTTTCTGCCATAGTTAAGGCTTTCTTCGGAAGGAGAATTTAATTATCTATTCATTGCGGAATACGCAAGTGATCTGCAGAAGTCTCGCCTTTGCGAGGGGTATTTATTCCCTTTTCCTGCGCTACATGGGTCTAACAATAGCTCAAATATTACGTCCCCAATTACTTTCTTTTCATTTCTCTGTCTTGATTTGACATCAAACAAATTTAATTTCAGTCCTTAAATACATTTCTGACGCATGAAATCCTATTTTAATGTCAGTTGTGAGAGGCTGCTGAATGAGTAAAGTCTATAGAGCTATGCAAGATAATGAGTCCAGGAGAAAACACGGTGAGGAGGCGAGTTGTCACATATCCGCACAGATGGGGTGTGAGCACCCCGGGGGAAAGGGGAAAATACACACTTCTGTTTGCAAGGCCGTTTATAGGAATCCAGACAGGGAGAGGGAGCAATGTCCAGTAACCCTTTGTGCAACTGACACACTGAAATGCAGACACACCTGGACAGCTTATTGCATTCTAACGCTGCTTTCCAGCATCCGTCAAAATTGTACTTTTTGTGTAACAGCTATAACAAGACAATGTTAACCTGTTTTACTTTATTTGCTTGCCCAAACAGGTATTTCTCTGTATATTTCAATACACTTCAGTCCAGCCACTGCCTAGTACAGGAAAACATCCTAATAGTGTTTATTTATAAACCCATGTTGCGTGAAAAGCTAGGAATTCCAAACTCCAAGAAGGAAAAGGAAAATAAGAATCCTGGTTGTGCTGCTATTATTTTGCATAGAATTAAACCTCTGGGTTCCATGTTATCATTTGTCAACAAGGTGGCGGCATCTTCTGAGCAAAGAGCGGGAGGCCTGATACCCATCTGGGGTTGTGACAGGAAACTGGAGAGGGACCTTGTCTCCTTTTGTAAGGCCCAAGATGGAGAAAGGAGGAAAGTGGCGTCCAAGGTCACTGTCAGAGCTAATTTAAATTCCAGACCAGCAATCTGGGGTAAAGGGCAGGGGGTCAAGTCCAAGGAGAAAGTGTCTCATCTAGGGCACATTAGTTTACACCTGACACAAGTATCCAGTTGGCTAATGCCTGGCAAACTGGAGCCATCAGGTCTAGAGAAGCCCTTTGGCTTTGTGACTGCAGTCAAGCTGGCAGAGATGCTCAGATTCCCATTTATGTGATGTGGGAAGCTGAGGGGCCACATCAGGGAGGCTGTACTCAAGTTCCCAACTTGCTAGTGTTTCCACACAGCACATATACAAAACAGTAAATGAATTTCACCCTAATTTAATGCCACGCTTTTATATTGCAAAGGGTACTTCACATTGCTAGGAAACTTCCAAACGTAATCAACTTTTGCTAACTTTTGAGTGCACTCATGGTGACCTTTGGTTTTCAAATCCTGAAAAAAAAAATGCATTTGGCTCTTTTGATATATCCATTAACCCAGTCTTAGGCAGATGAATAATACACACACATTCTTTCAAGGACTACCATACACGTCAACCATTGTAAGAGAAAAAGCACCACAAGTGTCTTCCTAACACAGCACCTTTACTCAGCACACAGAACATCAGACACATCATGTTGGCAGTTAAAGACTGAACCACAGTTTAACTTCTCAAGTGTAAGGCCCAAGTTTAAAACTGGCACATCCATTCATCTAGTTAGTATGATGGAAACAACGTACAGCCACAGCTGGGTAGTGGTTTATCTTTTTAATGAAGCTATAAAGCTTTCCATATCTAGCCATATGAACCTTTTTACTTAACTGAAAATCACAACCGTGTTTACCATATTCAACTATGTCTGGGGAGGGGCGTGAGTAATGCATACTTCATGGCTACCGTGAACTACACAGATGGCAACTTCTTCAACCCTTTGTTACACACAGCAAAAACAAGAGAGAAAAAAAAAAGCCCACTTAGTGAATATCAGGTTTCAAAGCTTCATATGGATTTCTAGTGCTATTAAACCAGTAGCCAGAACACAAACACCCAGCTTGGATCACTGAAACTTCAATAGAAGAAACAATTGAGGCTGATTCTTGATTTAATTTGGAGGACCCATGCAAGATTCAGCTACAAAATTCAACCTAGTCTGGATGCCTAGTTCTAGCGGTGAATTCAAGCCAAAAAGGAAAGCTAAATATATATTTTAAGAGCCTATTTCTAGAAAATTTCATGTAACCATTTTGTTTCACTTCAGGAAATTAAGGGTGATCACAGCTTAATCAGCCTAAATTAAAAAACAAAACAAAACAAAACCCAACCAACAAAACCCAAATTAGTTTTCAGCTCTTTAAGTTGAAATGTCAAGTTTGTGTGTTTCTCCTATTTTTCCACCCTGTCTATGTTATTTTTGCTTCTAAACAGAGTAGATGCATAGCATGTCAAGTAAATAAATGAATACACTCAATTCAACAGGGCAAGCGTGAGAACTGTGATGGAGAATTTTTTGTAAGTGTCAATGTGCACTTGACAAATGCGGATTCAAACAAGCAGGAATTTCACAAATAAAACAGTACGGTATTTCCTTATCCCCTTCATCGACAAAAATAACTGAAAGGGCTTTGGCTTCGACTCTTTTCCCTCCTTGTCTAAACAAGAAGAAGAAGCTTGAGGAAATGTTTCAAAACTTTATACACGAATCTTTATAAACTATTTGAAGCATGTCACTCAAAATAAACCCCAAATCAGGCGTAAACAAAAAAGTTTTTGCATTTGTATACAGCTGTCCAATGAACAGGATCTGAATCCCAGCTTTCTAAACTAAAGGAACAAAGTACTATTTTTATGACTTTAATGAAGTACAATAATTCCACTGACTTTGGAAATAAGGCAGCTAATTTGGGGCAGGGAGGGGGAGTGACAATTCCAGTGGTATGGATGTTTACTTTCCGAGGAGTCTCTTGATCCATCTGGGCTGCAATGACACAGTCATGTGCTCCTCACATCCCCTAATGCCGCCGCGCCTCCCTTGTGGCCTCCCTGGTCGGTTTCCCTGGCCGACTGGGTCTTGGCGTTCCAACACTGTCCTGAACACCTCTGCAGCAGGCTGTGTCAGAAGGAGCAAGTGGCCCTCTCTGGCTTTTAATTCTCTGAACTTTGGAGCTCCTAAGTTGTGCCTTTCCCTTATAAGATGGGCCAATTCATAAGAGGACACCAAAACTTGCTGTTTTTCTTTTTTACCTTCACTTATGTTAATGAGAAATACAGACACAAAATAAAACCAAATGCGCGTTTCAAAAAAGTGGAAACTGCATCTTGTTTAGCGAGAAGCTTGGGCTGCATTCCTAATGATTTTTGTTAATGCGACTTTGTGCAAAATATCAAGAAGGCTCTTGGCTCATTTTCATAGTGACCCAAAAACGAAAGCCAATGCATGTTTGCAAAAAATAAAACAACGACATGTGTATTTGTTATACACGTGTGCCACGCGTAACAAAGCAAATGTAGTGTGTGAACCGTGAACGTGGGAGAGAGCACTGGTTATGTTTCTTTCCCTCCATTTCTAAGTCTAAAATCAAAGTGATCTTGTTTTAGAAATGGATAACTGTGATGAAAATGAGCCTGAGATATGTTAAAGGCCGCCCCTGTAAACATTTCCTCAAAGGGAACAGTAGCAGTTGAGTGTGTATCAATTACTCATACTGTATCCATCACGATAGCAATGCTTCATAAAGGACAAACAGCTTATTTCTAGGCTGTCAGGGATTTATGGGATATTGATTTCTTTTGTTGGAAACAATCCACTGTAATCCAGTCCCAGGTTTAAATCCGATCTGGCTTTTACCAGTAGGCCTTCACTAGGTCTTCTGCTCTGCGGCTGTGGCGGTCTGTGAAGGAGCTTCCGGCTTCACGATCTGGTATGTGATGAGATACTCTGGGTAGGCCTAGAAAAAGCAGCAGATAACAAGTCACCCTGCTGGAGGGTACAATATTAAGGCCTTCCTTAATGTGGAAGCCTCAGAGGCTGTTCATCCCGCCAGGATTCCGCCCAGGTCTGGTTAATTAACAGGTGCCTAACAGATGAGGAGGTCCACCTACTTAGCTGCCTGTAACAACATATATAAACCTACCACCCAGGGAACTGTTTGAATGCTACTTCTACTAAGAATACTGTAAACCAGGGGCAGCGCCTGTGGCTCAAAGGAGTAGGGCGCTGGCCCCATATGCCAGAGGTGGCGGGTTCAAACCCAGCCCTGGCCAAAAACTGCAAAAAAAAAAAAAAAAAGAATACTGTAAACCAGTTCCGCTCCTTTCGTTCCTTACTAGAGAGCATGTGCCATAAACCCAAAACTGAGGTGTGAGGCAGCACGAGCACCAGAGCCATTTAGCAGCATAACCTTTTATTTTCTCAGATTTCCTAACTGAAGTATACACCAAGGCTTATAGCATTTACACCGTAAAAAGCTTCCCATTCGTGGATGTTCGCTAAATGCTTGTTAAATGAAAAGGTATCTGCTGAAGCACGTTCAAATTAATCATAGAAAAAGGCATCACTCACTGAGATAGAAAGTAAGGGGGAGATGTGTTGAGTCACCAGGAACGCACAGGCAACAGTTTGGAGATCATTTTAAAATTAACCAATTACAGGCATCTCTTACGGGGAAGATAATGGGTCAGATTTAGACCTGCTCCCCTCCACCCCTGCTATGCTGTCTTTCTATTTCTCTCTCTTCTCTTGCAGTTGGAGAAAGAGAAGCCTCGGGGTCTGGAATGGGAAGGAGGCGTCTTTGATGTGAGCAGCAAAAGGCAGGCGACTGGGGGAAGCTGTTACAAACCTTGACCAGAAACGGAGTCAGCAACTGGAAGGAGGGGTGAAGACACCCCTTAGTTTGGAAATTCTGCAGGAATTCTTCCACCCTAAATAGAGCATGACGATAAAACTAGAGAGTGGTGTGATGGCTGAAAAAATACTCCCGGGGGAGCCAAGTGTTATGGCGGCCAAAAATAATCTGTTGAATGCTGACCTACAAATTACTTGCACACAGACACGGGCTAAGAAAAGGAATGAAGAATAAGACAAAACTGGACTGTTTAATTTTTAAAACGTAGAAATAAAAGTGATCAATTCACCGAGTAATCTCTTTATAATTACACACCTCACTCTTAGGAGACAGAAACTACAATACATCTGGGTCTCAGCTTTCCTCATCTGTAAATGGGAACTGCAATAATATTAGAATTCTTATGAGAACTAAACACGAAGGTTCTTAGAATAGCTTAGACATAGTAAGAATTTAATATATGTTAGTTGTGACTATTAATGCTATAATATTCAGCATTATTATTATCCTACATGTATCTCCTAAAAAGAACAAAAAACATAAATGTGTTTTAAAAAGTCATCTCTGTCTCTGTGTGTAAGGAACCGTTACGATTCATAACATTTCCCCCCGACAATTCCAGTCTGCTCTGATTGGAGTTAAAACAGCAGTGGGTTCCATCTTTAATGTACTGAGCTGGGAGCACCAAGACTGAGTCTCTTCTGACTTTCCCATCTGATGCTTCAATAACTGAACAGTTGTACTGTTTTTGTTGTTGCTATTGCAATCTGTACACCATTTCATTCTTGAAATGGTTTGCTACAACAAGCTAGGTCAGATGTCTATTTCCAACTCTAGAGTTGGGTATAATAAATCTAGCAAAGCTCATATACTGGTGGAAAAATGGGAATGCTAGTCAACCAACGGTTTAACTGTCAAAAAGTTATTTATTCATCGCCAATTTACACGTATGGAGTGTCTACCTTGTGAAAACACTAGTGTGAGATATGGACCCTGCTGGGAAGGAGCTTACCCCCTAGTCTAGGAGACTAAACCAGACCAAAAGAGGACAAATTGAAAAATAATCCAAGTTGGTATGTGTGACATGTCTGAAGTGGGAAGCCCACCCCGCTTTCTTTTGTCCCAGTGAAGTTTATTATCTACGATACTTTGCATGACTCATTTCTTCTGCTTGCAGAAAACTTGCTTAAGCAAAGGAGCAATACCACTGTTTGGGGTTGGGTGGCATATGATTCAAGGTGATCCCTGACACATGTCAGTGCCAGTCAGGCAGAATCTAAGATTCTAATGACATGAATTACTTAAAGGTCCTTATCTGAGTGCCCTGGTCCCTACCGATTAGGGTATAGAACTGCTTCTGTGTACACTTCAAGATATTGATCAATCACATCAAAGTCCTGAGGGATTTAAGGCAAGGGAATTACTAAACTGCAGGACTGGAAGGGCCTAGAGTGGACCAAAAAACATTATTTCCTGTAAGTCACTTTAAATCCATGCTGGTCATCAAAGCATAGGATGTATTTTTTCTTTAAGTTCCCTTACCACTTTGGGTACCATAATTTCATAAAATTCTTTTTAACCCAAATTCCTAATGCTAAAATTTAAACTCAGATGCTCTCAGTTTATTTTTCATAAAGATGAGAAAGGAATTGTCATGCTCCCTTGAATAATTTTGTGTATCTGGAAACCATTCTATAAATCATTCCATCGTTTTCGCTTCTCCAAGTTAAATAATTCTGCACTGTTCATTTCATTTCAGCAAAACAGATGGAATCTCTGTAGCAACCAGCAAAGAACACCTCTTCTTTACGTCTAAAGTGAAGCTTAAACCACCACAACAAAAAAAAACCCTGCTATTTTAAGTCTAATCACATGTTTTCTGTTCCAATTTTAAACAGACAAACTTGAAATATTTATTCTTTGCTTGTTTTATTTGGAAACAACTACAAATAGGAGTTTGTACAACTACAACTATAAATAAGTTGGAAAAATTAAAATGTTACACAAAACACCTATATCATCTTTACCCAGATCTGCTTACTGATAAGGTTTCCTTTATTCCATTTGCTCTGGCATCTGTATTTCCCCTTCCAGTAGGCTCTACACACACACACACACACACGCACGCACGCACACACACAGAGACATACACACACGCACACACACACACAGAGACACACACACACACGCGCACATGCACGCACGCACACACACAGAGACACACGCACACACAGAGACACACACATGCACGCACGCACACACACAGAGACACACACACACACACTTTTTCCCCTGGGACATTTAAGTTATGTACATCATCATGGTCCTTTATCCCTAAATATGCCAGAATATATTTCCTAAGAATAGATTTATTCTCTTACCTAACTCCACTGTCAACCTTATAATTTTACATTGAATATAATACTTTTATCTATATTCTGTCCATATTCCAATTTTGTCAGCGGATCTAATAATGTCCTTCTTTTGCAGTACTGTATGGGGGCAGGAAATCGGTTTTTGTCTCTTGGGCCTCAATGAATCTGGAAAGCTTTCACAGCTTTTCTCCTTTATAATATCGACATTTTGAAGAACACAATCTTTCCGCTTTTTTTTTTTTCTTTTCAAGAAAGTATCTTGCTGCTCTGTTTGCTCAGGCTAGAGTGCAGTGGTGTCAGCACAGCTCACTGCAATCTCCAGTGATCTGCCTGCCTCAGCCTCCAGAGTAGCTGGGACTATATGCACATATGGCTACGCCCAACTAATTTTTTTGTTTTTTAAAAAATTTTATTATTATTTTAAGAAGTGGGAGGTCTATGTTACTCAGGCTGGTCTTGAACTCCTGGCCTCAAGTGATCCTCCTACCTCAGCCTCCCAATGTGCTAAGATTACAGATATGAACCAACCACACTTAGCCAGTTTCCCCATTTTTTAAAAATAGAAATTTCTCATTTTGAGTAGTCTCAGGTCATATATCCTTGGCTGGAATCCTGCCTAGATGTTGTGCCTTTTTAGAACATCCATTTGGAGACACAGACATGCTATCTGTCTCTTACTGTGATGTTGATTTTGAGTGTCTGGTCACAGCACTGCTTCCTTTCCCCAGTGTACAACTACTGCAAATAAGACCACGCAACTATTATTGTCTTTACTGAAATTACTCCCTACATTTAGCGTCCACTGACGACTCTTGCCTGATCTAATTTTTTCTATGATGTTTGGAAGATGATTTTCCCAATTCCAGCACTCCCTCATGGACCCATTTGCTCTTGAAATTCTACTGTAAACCAGAGTCCTCTTTCCCCTTCATTTATTAATATTTATCTATTATCAAACAGAATAATGAGTGCTTATTTTTTCTAATGGAAATTCATTACTATACTTCTTTTGGTGTTCAAACTGTCCCAGATTTGGCCACTGGAAGCCTCAACCTGGCTTCTGTGTCCTTGTGACATCCCCCATGATTTGTTTTTGAACACTTCATTGCTTCTGAGGCACAACAAGACTTAAGAAGCTCCCCTGTACCTTCTGCTCTCGCCCTGGAATCAGCTGTTTCTCCAAGAAGCCTGACTCCTTTTAGTGGGAGATGGTATTAGCAACCTAAGTTCTAGTTTCGCTCATTGCTATTGGGGTTTTTTGCTGTTAGCAGACAGAGCTATGAAATATATGCACATATACACTCATATATAAACACACGCTCACACTTTACACTTACACATATGCCCATCTGTACACACACACATTTACACGGACACACATGTGCACATACAGAATGGGCGTACAGTTCCTGTGCAATTTAAAATAGCTTAATGTTACGTAAATCGCACATGAACTTTATGGACACCCTGTATATATTAGAAACTGTGAGCTCATATTAAAATCTCCAACTTCAGTTCATCCCTGCAGGCCTTTATTCACTTCAGTTCATCCCCCGTTTGCATGAGCCTTCTTCTACAGTGAGGACTTCGGCTCCCAGAATTAATGTATCAGCACATTTACTCATTGCCCAGTCCTGTGACACACCTTCACTGTCCTGCCCCTGCCATCACTACAGACTTACAGAAAGGAGCTCAGGATTCTTTACCAGTCTGCCTGCTACCACACCTGCCCAAGACTGACAGCATGCAATAAAACATTGTTTCATAGGCTATGTGTATTTCATTCTTCTTTATGTTTTCTCTTCTCTTTCAATGTAGTTATGGTATTCATTTACAATTCAATGAAGTTCGGACAAACTGAATTTTGTTTTGGTAGGTATTTAACAGAACTGTGATAGTTAAAGACTGGTTGAAAACTACAAAACTATTCTGTACGTATACAGAATATTTCTCTGTATATCTACTTTCATATACAAAAATAGATAGCTAGATAGATAGACAGACTTTATTTTAGTGCCTCAAGCAGTTGGTAGAATTAAAAGTACTATAGTTTTGTGACTCAGTAAGCTGGTAGTTCTTTGTAAATACCATGATCAGCATTACAGACATACGACTTAGGGGACGAGCCTGTGGCAAGTCCATCCATGAAGATCTACTGATTGGCAGCTGCCCCGATCTCCTCATTTCCAGGGTGGCCACGATGCTGCACAGAGCACTGATTCACAACAGCGGGCCTCAGGAACGGCATAAGACCCCAAGCCTCTGTCTCTCAGCTGCCCTCTACTTCGTGCTGCATTACTTAGCTGACAGGCCACTGAGGGGCTCTGTACGCAAAATTGGTGTCGAAGAATCATTTTGGTCTCTTCGTAGTGTACTGGAAGTGACTAATGCTACCAGATTATGAGGTGGATGTTTCATTAAAAGCTTTTCTTAACTCTTACGTGGTCTCTATGTTCTGCATAACATGTTTAGTAACTGGGTCATGCTCATCTGACGAGTGACCTACCTGTTCTCCTCTGTATATGACATACTCGGCATATGCTAGCCCATTGACACTGGGTCTGCCAATGACTGAGTGATGTCCTGGAGGAGCATGAGCCATTTTCATGGTGCTAAATTGCAGAAAGGATTTTCCAAGGGTTACTCTACAGAAAAGCATTTGTCTAAAGAAAAAAGAAAAGCATTGGTTTGAAGGAAGCTTTAAACCTTAGAATAACGCAACTGTACAGTTTATTGATTTTTAAAACAGTTTAAAGGAAGGCAAGCTTATCTGAATGTCATTTTCAAATTTAAGAGTAGGGATGGGATGAGATTTGATATACTGATTTGCTATAAACAGTTACCAGGCTCAATAGCTTCAAGTTTAAAGTAGTTTTGGTGTGGCTTAGGAATCAACCACAGAAAAAATACCTGGCAGGACGTTTCAGCAAGTGGGAAAAAGGAGATACCAGAGAAAATTGAGTTCTTGCATGGATAGATAGGTGGAATACAAAGAAATAAGCAGATAGAAACAGCACCCCAAATTAAGATTGGTGTTACTCATTACGAAGAAAAAGAAAGACCTGAGATTATACAAGAGAAATAGATTATGAAAAAAATACTTAGGGGTTAAACGTACATGCACTGGGGCAGATGTTAAATATTTCAGAGCATAAGAGAAGTTGGCTGGGAAGAAAGTGTACCATGTATACACTAGAGCAGTGGTTCTCAACCTTCCTAATGCCGCGACCCTTTACTACAGTTCCTCATGTTGTGGTGATCCCCAATCATAAAATTATTTCCGTTGCTACTGGCAACATGTTCTACAACATGAGGAACTGTAGTAAAGGGTCGCAGCATTAGGAAGGTTGAGAACCACTGCACTAGAGGCTGGCAAACTATAGCTCATGGGCAAATCCAGCCTGCCACCTACTATTGTAAATGCAATTTTTCTGGAGCACAGCCACGCCTCTTTACATACTGTCCTTGTACTACAAGGGCAGAGTTGAGTTTTTCTGACAAGGACTATGTGGCCTACGAAGCCTAAAATAATTATTATCTAGAATAATACACTAATTTAAAGAAAAAGCTTGCCAATTCCTAACATTAGCAATAAAGATTTTAACTGATTGGTATGACTGGTCACACTGTTAAATGTAGTTATATTCTTTAGTCCAATAGTTTGTTTTTAGTAATTAAGGATGATCTTTGTGTTGTGACTGATAACTATTCTGAGTCAACTATTAATAAAATTTGAGCTGGGCTCAGTAACTGGATCCTGCCTGCACTGATGTTTTTAGTAGGATGCTGTTAAGGATCTTTCTCTTACGGCTCCCAGAAGACAGGGTTTTGTTCTACACTAGAGAGGAGCTCTCTGAGCCCCATCTCTACACTGTGGCAGTGGTGTGCACCTGTCAGGAGACTGCGGCCAGCTTGCTAACGCACCTCACTGGGTTTGCTCTGTGGCCATCCACACCTCCCTTCCTTCTGGTCCCTCATTCGGCTGCCCTGGGACTGCATCGCCCATAAAGTGCTGGTCATGTGCTTATGCTTCCAGTTCTGGTTTTTTCTAGGAAATTCTAGCTAAGACATAAACTTGTGTGTCTCATTTTAATAAGTGACTATTAAAATTCATCAAAGTTCACTTTTATTGCTTCCTCAGATTCATTGTGTTTCTAAAGTAGTTAGATTTAAAGCACAAAGAAACCATTTTTGCATACTATATTTTCTTCGGAATCTGTGTGTTCTTAACCACAGAGGTAATAATAGAAGGAAGCTTCCTTCTGGACATCTGACACCCATCTCACAGGAGATGATGATGATAGTGTTTTTTATAACATATGTAGTAACTTATCTAAGTTTTAAGGTCAATAACTGTAATGAATTTCAATGTCATATGGGTCTTTTTAGCTCTTTACTGAATCATAACATATTAACCTGACTTTGCAAAAATAATGCATTTAAAAAAGAGAAATATAATAAATCCCAGTCTTCACAAAGTATAATTTGTTTTATGTTTCACTGGCAAGGAAGGGAATAGTATTTTTCCCCCATGTCTTCAGAGAGAGTAAGCTATTATTCTCTCCAATTTCTGAATTTTCACAACCTATTTAAAAAGCTGGAATTCATTTGCTAGTCATCCCTAAATTGACGTTTTGAAGTTACTTTTCAAGGATCATTTATATATCTTCCACTTGAAAACAAACATCACCCACATCAGAAGTAAACTAAAGACTCTTCTGGTTTTAGAAATTGTCCATCTGGAAGGGTGCCCGTGGCTTAGTAAGTGGGGCACCAGCCCCGTATACCAAACGTGGTGGGTGCAAACCTGGCCCTTGGCCTTGGCCAAATTGCAACCAAAAAAATAGCCAGGTGTTGTGGCGGGCTCCTGTAGTCCCAGCTGCTTGGGACCATGAGGCAGGAGAATTGCCTGGGCCCAGGAACCAGAGGTTGCTGTAAGCTATGATATTACAGCACTCTACCAAGGGTGACAAAGTGAGACTCTGTCTCTAAAAAAAAAGAAATTGTCCGTCTTAGTTCAAATGTGACTAGACCTAAAGGTTCTTTGTTCTACAGAAACTATCCTCAACCTTTTCTTGTTCTGATTCTGTCACAAGGAAACTAAAGCCTAGGGAAAGGGCCAAGACGCAGGCTTCTCATTCCACGCTATGACTGGTAGACACTGTATCTGGTTGTCTCTGCTGGTATCGGCTTTGCTGTCATTGCTCCTTAGGGCAGAGGCTGCTGCTCACTGGACCTATTCAACACCCGAGCCTGTGTGATTTATGAGGAAGACTGTGGATAACCTGTGATTTCTGCAGAGCATGAAAAACTCACTTAGTTCATGACCTGGTGATGGCTGCCATTCCACTAAAGGCCTAATGCTTACCTGTGACATATATAACATGACCTGTCTTTGTGTGTAGGGCAGCCTGTTCCTCCTCCAATTCCATAAACATACTGGTTGCTTTTCGAGGAGTTTTCAGCAAAATAAATCCCAGCTCCAAACATTCCTCCTATGTATGCATGTCTCTCATCAAACCCTTTGTGAATAATGGCATTAATGAAAGGAGACCCTTCAAATAGAAAGATAGAAAGATTATTACTTTTCTAGAATCTCAATTAGTTGCATAATACCTGCACTGGGCAGATTATCATTAAGAATTAATAATGCATAAATAAAAAGTTTATTTTCTAAGAGTGTCTAAAATATACTGCACTAGTTCTAAATTATAAGAAAAATACTTCACTAGCTGGCTCAACCTGCGATTTAAGTTCTGAAGCAATTTCAGACAAATTATTTTCATTAAACATGCCTTGAAAAGCCTACAGCAAAATGTAATGCTTTAGAAAGCTGGTCCCTATAAGTAATTTACTTGATAAAAAAAAATCACAAGAAGTCATTCTTAACATGGGCCTGTTCCAGTCAATTTAACCTAGACTTTTCCCTTTACTGAATTCTGCAGTAGCCCAGAGAGATGTCTACCTGCCCGCCCATGCCTCACCGTGAAACAGCATGCGCTCGTTGTGGTGGTTGTGGTTCTCCTCAGACACTTCCTTCTGTCTGTGACAGAATCGCTCTCTCAACTTCTTGTTGACGACTTTCTGAATCTTTAAGGATCAAGAAAAAAGAAACTAATTATCAGCAAAATGTATGTTTATATTTTAAAACAAAGAGCAGGTTTCTCCTCTAGGCAGGTTCGATTTTTGTTTTGTCTGTTTAAAACACGGTTTAAAAATGATGACGTTGCCAGTCGGCAGCGTCAGCCAGTTGCTGCTCTAGCTTTCTAGGGTCAGAACTGTCAGTTACAGTTTCTGTTATTTTGCACCAGGCCTGGCTGTCACCTCAAAATCATCTCAGGAGTTTTTTTTTTTTTTTAAGATCACTTTAAGGCTCCTCCCCAGATTTAGTGAATTTTAAGAGATGGGGGCCTGTAGATTTGTATTGTTTAAAGAGTTTCCTAAGTAATTCTGGTGTGTACCAGTGTAACTTTCACGGGTTTATTAACTCGAAAAGGATTAAACTAGTTCTGAACAGATTTTATTCACCTTTATGATAGCTCTTTAAAAAAAGCATATTAATAGTCATCTGTTCCAT